GATGTTTATTGAATTGGAATGCGCACGCTCTCCCTTGTTTTTTTATTAATTATTATTTTTTATTATTTTATTAAAGAAAATAATAATTTGATCACTTCAATCCACGACTGTTTGTGGGACACTGCTGTGCGCAATTGGCTGCCGTGTTTCACCCACAAAATACAGTCAATTCACTTTACAGTATGTTCTGTGAAGTGCTCTGAGACGTCTCAAAGAAGGGATAAGGCATTATATCAATTGCAAGGATTATTATTATTATTATCCTGCTTACCTAATTCCAGAAAGTATTAGGCGCAGGTTAGCAAGAGCCAAGAATTGGGGACCCCAGAGTTTGCGTTGTAGTACTGCTGGAGTCTTAACTAGCTAAAACCGCATACCTTGCCATTGAGAGTACTGTCTGGAAAGCTTTCCCACTCCTGGTCCAACTAGGACCATCCTACCTGTTAGGGATTTGGCTTGCAGGGTTAATAGATTGCAGAAGGAAGGAAGAAATTAAATGCACATCTAATTCATAAAGATTTAGCTTTAACAGTGAGCATGAGACTCTGGGAAGGGAAACCTACTTGTTTCAAATGCCATCCTCCAATGTCATTATGAAACTGGCTCGACCAAACTGGTAAGCTTTGCTGTTTCAGTGAAACCTCAAAGTCTGATACACTCATCCAATGCGCTGTACAAAAGCATGCAATCCTGTTATCTAAATATGTTCATTGTTCCAAAGTTCTAACAGGGTTGCAGATCTTTCAGCAAGTCATTGGGAACAGGGATTCTTCCCACTCAGCTCCTGTTAACCCTAAGGTTGGTACTAGCTGGACAAGCAGCGGGAAACATGCTTGACAATGCCCTCATTGACAACCTATGTGAATTTAAGCTGCTCAAACTCCAGGAGTACCCCAAAACAATCTCTGGATGTCCAAGCCTTGGCTCCTCTAGAAATAGGCAATCGGGGTGCTTCCCTCCAGGGAGAGAATACACATTCCATTTCAATAAACATCAATAAAAAGGGGAGAGAGGGGGCAAAGTGGAGGGATTGAGGGAGAGCAGGTATGAACTGTATTGTTGGTTGTGGCCAAGTCTGCTCTCTTGGCTGGGCACAAAGATAGCAAAAACCACTTCATAACGTGAGAAAGTGAAACCACATTAGAGTGTGAGAACATGAAAGATTTTGAAAACAATATTTCAGAGGTGACGTGAGGTTCAGGATTTCCTCATTCGCAAGAGAGAATTCTCTTGCTTGCTTGTGACTATTTTAGTTTAACTTATCTAGAGCATTGAAAACCTTGAGTGAAATTCCCACGTGGAATTAGAACTGGCAAGGAATGTCAGACTGATAGGACTGGATGACGCAGTGTGTTAGGACATTGTCTTTTTGTCTGCTCACAAACCTAGTTTGACTCCAATCCAGAGAAACAGACTGAAAGTCTCCTCTCTCAGGAGAGTCTTTCAAGATGAATTTGTGCAGCTCTCAATGGCTGTCACTCGGATTGATCGCCAATGTTGGTAGTTCTTGGTTTGGGCTGGTTCACAGGAGCACAGAGAGGGAAGGGTAGGAAATCCAAAGCTGCTTGCAGTCAAAACAATTTTGAAGTGGGCACAAAGCAGTCTGGGAATGGTGACCTCACTCAGAAGAACCTCACCCAGAAGGTCCTTCCTCATTCCGATCTGGTTAAGCTTATCATTTAAAACATGCACAGGAGCCATGCAAACTATTGGATTTTTCACAAGCGAAAGAAGAGTGGCTTTCCAGTAGACCAGTGTACTCTCAGCCCATCTTGGCTCCTGAAAAGGATTGCTTAAATCACTTTAATAGTTCAAAACAAAAACATAAGGAACACATTGGCTCAATTTAGATGAACTCAAGAAATCTTTGATTCTCTGTCAACTCGATTCAATCTAATTAATAGAACTGGATGTTCCCTATCTCATTAGTTAGTATTTTTTAAATCAAAATCTCTCAAAAGTTCCTTCACAAGGAATTGCTGTCAATTGCAGTGACTGTGCATATTGTAGACAAAATGAAATGAGTCCAGATGAGGTATCAGCCTGGCTCACTTGGTAGTTTTCTCACCACTGAGAATACTTGTGGGTTGTGGGTTCAAGTCAGGACTTTGAACTCACAGTCTATCCTGACACTCCGAATAGAATGCTGGGGAGATGCTGCATTTTTAGGCCTTCGGATGAGATCTCGTCTACTTGTTAATATGGACATTAAAGATCCCATGACACTACACAAAAAAGAGAAGGGAATTTCTCCCGCTGTCCTGGCCAACAATCCTCCAGATAAAAATTGGTGATTCACTTCATGGCTGTTTGTTGCTATGTGAAAATTGGCTTTCGCATTCACCTACAAAATAAAGTGTACAGTAGTTTACCCTGCTCACCTGATATTCAAGGTGAATGTTACACTGCCAAAACAAAAGTGCCACTAAGAGTGAGACTGTGGCTCCATTTAGGTGACCCTCACTTCCCAGCACCCTTTAAATCCAACAAAAACTGGTGCTCTATTCTATTTGAATCAGTTCTCACATACTGTGTAAGTTAAATGCATTGTAAAAGAGTCTTATTTGTGAAGGAACCAATGAACTGATGCATGATGCAGGAGCTCGTATCTGAAGTAGTTTCATTTGCATCATAATGCCCACTTCTTATGACTGCTGGCACGTGTTTCTTTGTCCTCACTTTGCTTTGGTAAATGCAAATGAACATCTGTTCTTGAGGCCCCTCAGAAGGCTTTGAGAAAACTCTGTTGCCTTCTGAGTGCAGTGCTACAGAGCAGAGGCACTAAAGATGCCGACAGGTAAGGTTCCAACTTCCAAATTTTAACTGTACGCATTTAAATTTGCGTTTCAAACTATGCAAATTGCTATAGGCAACATCAAGTGGAATTGGGACTCCATAGTGATCCAGAACTAAGCACCAAAAGCATCCTGATCCTGACATCAATGTACTTTGCACTGTGTCTGAAAGTTTGTATAATTTACCAGAATGCAAGTTAAATAAATCAACGATGAAGTCGTAGATTTTTAAACTACATTTTTAAGAGCCACCTGTAAAAATGGCCCAGCCCCTGCACCCTTAGATTTAGTAGGGAATACGTTTTGAAGCAGTATCCAAATTGGAATTGATATGAACTGGACCAAAGTAGGACTGGTGCACAGAGGCTTTGTAACTCAGAGCAACAGTTCCAGACAATATGGCTACCTTGAATTCTGATCTAGTTTATAGTCCATGAAAGACTCATATTTGATAACCTGAAATAAGTCAAATACGAGAGGATTTTTTCAATGTTGTTATTCTCTAGTAAAGCTTTAATTCTCAAATCTCCTATTTATATCCAATATTGCTTTCCATTTTGTTGTCCTGGTTATTGTTTCTTCTTTGATTCTAATCTGGTAGGGAAGAACATTCCCATGTGCCACAAGGACAAAAAATACACTTGCACTCTCCCTGGTCTCAGACTCTTGTGCTCTCCTTAGTCTATTCATCAAAAGTCCTTCTCACCGAGTCTGCTTACCCAGTTGGCTCTCGATGAAATTGCGAATGATAGACTTTATTGCTTAATACTTTCAAGGTTTTGATCAGGCACAGTGCTGTATATCAATATTATGTCTTAACACTGATCACTTATTTCATGTGGAGATGAAGAGACAAGAAAACCATGTTGAAGTCACTGCAAAGAGGTGGAGGGGGTAGAGTGGAATTGTTTCAAATGCCTCTCACTGACTGTATTAGGAGGCTTGTGAGTTACTAACTTTAGGGTGGAGCTAAAGCTCTAGGACATTGAAACCTGCAGCAAAACAATAAGGCAACACATTAAAAAAATGCATTAAGTCAGGAGTCTCATGCACCTGCTTTTCCGCTTGCTGAAGAAATAGACATTGACTTCAACAAATCACTGAGGAGAAAATCTTACCTGAATTAGTTACAGGTTTCTATGCGGCTTGCTAACTGAAAAGGAGTAAATATTTCAGTAGCGTTAACACACTGTGATACCAGTTTATGACAAACTTTCATGTGGTGCTCTTGCAATATTATTACTATATTAGTACAACTCCTGTCATATGAACTACAATTCAGATGACTTCACATAACACATTAGATAAGGCTATCTCATTGGATTGCACTATTTATGTGACGTAAATGATGAAGAAGGCTAGTTACTCAGTGCTCTTCTGATGGCTCATTTGATAAAGTCATTGTCCAAAAGCGAAATAAAGCCACACAGATCTGCAAGGTTTGACATTTAATAATGTAATAGCATTCAGCAACAGCAACAACAATAACAACTTGCACGTATATAGTACAGAAGGGTTCTGACGAAGGGTCGTGGCCCCGAAATGTTGACTCACTTTCCTTTCTCCATAAATGCTGCCTGACCTGCTGAGTTTTCCAGCTCTCTGTTTTTGTTTCAGATTTCCAGCATCTGCAGTATTTTGTGTTTTGTACAGATTATGCATTGTTTGACTGGAGCTTCTAATGGAGAATTTGAGATCCATTTCATATGGAAATGTATAATGAATTTTTTTCATTCCTTCTTTAAGCTTATTGTGTTATTGTTTGTATTGATAGTGGCTTTAAATTTACAGCATTTTCCATTGTCGTATTTAACCAACTGCTCAGGAAGCTTTCCATAGGGAAGATGCAACATAATCGTGTGTACTCCCATTGTAAGCACTAAAAAATAACTTGTGTAATGCTCACTAAAAAATGTGCTTTCATGGTTAATAATCTCCTGCCACAGAGACTGTGAATATATTGGGTGGCAGTAGTCAAAAGACTGTCTCAGAGTTCGTTTTTTTTTAATATTCCAAGCCACATTATCATCAAAGAGACAGAAAAGGGCTTGATGTTTTTTGTGTGTGGTTATCCTTTTACCAAAGTGATTCATGAAACGCAACAAATTCTCATGAATCTCACTGCTCAAGTAAACTGTCAGTGTTGCTATTTATAACCGAGTGTGGCTAAACTTCCAATGTAAAACCACATTTTTGCTTCCTTAGGTGGATATGCTGCATTTTCATCTAGCTTTCCTGGTCTGTGTGAAGGGAAATCTGCTCTGGTGCCCACAAGCATTTCCCAGCCGTGCTTACCTGTGACTAACATCGGCCCCACTCGAATTCTCCCACATCTCTACCTTGGCTGCCAGCGAGATGTGTTGAACCAGGTAAGCAGCAGGACATTTCATCCAATGAACAAACCTTTCTGAGAAATGCCAATTGTTAGTCAATTGGTGAATCGATTTTCCGGGGGAAGGAATTCCTTAAAAAATTGGTCACTCAGTCCACGACTGTTTGTGGGACACTGCTGTGTGCAATTGGATGCCGCGTTTCATTCACAAAACACACAGTCAATTCACTTTACAGTATATTCTGTGAAGTGTTTTAAGACATCTTGAAGACATGATAAGGCGCTATATCAAATGCAGGGATTATTATTATTCACCAAATCACATAGTCTGTACAGCAACGAAAAAGGCCATTCAGCCCAACTAACCCATGTGGGTGTTTATCCTCCATGTGAGCCTCCCCCCATCCTAATCCCATATCTCCGCCCATCCTAATCCCCTGATCCCTCCTCCTCCCATCCTCCATATCCCTCTATCCCATTCTCCCCCATGTAGTCATTTAACTGAATTATTAGGCCTGAAAGTTATCTATAGCTGGGCCAAAAATGTCTAAACTGAATTTGCTATTAAGTTTAGCAGTGGGAGTGACCTACCTCTCATTTCTCTTACCCTCCCTGCAACCACCACCATCACTATACCTGTAGTATTTTTCTTCCCTTCCTCATTTTCGGCCTATTTCCATCTCTCAGACAATGCTGCTCTATAAACTGTCTGATAGGAAGTAATTCACTTGGAAAACCTGATTTTCCCCTCCCACCTTCACCTGTTCTATGACTAAGTAAAGTGCTTGGGGACATTTAAATAATGCAAATTTAAATAAATAATGGCATTAATTGTGTCACTGGCATGTAACAATAATGTTCCACACCCTTTGAACTAAACTTTTTGTATCTTATCTCGAGTTGTATAATGGTTAAACAACGTCAAAGGTTTAAGATGTAAATGCTTTCCATTTGATTTGCTTCAATAAGTTCAATAAGCTTTTTGTTTAAATTATAGGAGCTCATGCAGCAGATTGATATCGGCTACGTCTTGAATGCAAGTAACACCTGCCCAAAACCTGACTTTATCCCAGAGAGTCGTTTTCTTCGTGTTCCAGTCAATGACAGCTTTTGTGAGAAGATTTTACCTTGGCTTGACAACTCGGTGGAATTTATAGGTCAGTGTAGGCTCTCGTACCAATTCTTATTTGGTTTAATACATCGCCAAAAGTTCTATTAAAGATTTTATTTTGCTATTTTCTCAATGGAACTGGTTAAGATTTTTTTTACTGTAAAGTGTATTTTCTTCTTTCTCCTTGGTTCTCCATAATTCCAATTAGGCTAGACCTCCAATGCAGCACTGAGGAAGTGCTGTATTGTCAGAGATACCGTCCTTTGGACAAGACGTTAAACCCATCTGCCTGTTCAAGTGGACATTAAGAACCTAGGGTAGTATGTGAAAAGCCACGGGACTTACTCCAAGGGTGTCCTAAAAAAAAATGCCCCCAAATAAAATGGGTCATTCATTTCATGGCTCTTTGTGGGACATTGCTGTGTGCAAATTAGCTGCCTCACTTGCCTATGCATTACAGTAAATCCTGTGACACACTTACACACATCCTCCTGACTGACATGGTAAGGCGTTATCTCATAAGCAAGGATTCCGATCAATAGAATTTCCTCCACCAGTCACAAGTAGGTGAGGATGCTTCAGAGTGATTTCAGGGTGACTGGTCTTGCAAATCTCTAGGTTGGGAGAAAGAGAAGAAAAAGGTCTGACCTTTTTGGTAACATGAGTGACAGGAAGACACAGGGGTGAAAAGTGCAATGTGATAACTATCAACCCCCGGCCACAGATAAACATTTCTCTTTCCTTCCGACTTCATCAAAATGATGAAAATCACAAGCATATTCCCACATTGTATCCATAATGTAGCTTCTGTAAAATCATTGTTGTGCTTGTCTTAAGGAGAAATGAGTAAAAAAGAACAAAAAAAATTCACTGCACATCTTTGACTCGTGGTACATCTCTGAATTGAATTGCAGGTGGCCCATCCAATTGCATTTTTTAACCAAAACAAGGCACCGCAGAACTGAAACAAATGTGCTCACCTGTTGATAACCCACCTCTTTGTTTAATGGCGAATGAACTCTTCTCAAGTTATATTAATTTTCTCTCATATTTTAATGCATAATCGTTACCAGCCAAATGTTTTACTTCAAATAGAATCAATTCCCATGTCTCTTTACTAAAAGCTTTGTGTCAGCTGTTTATCCTGAATTCCTGTTAGATGTTCAGAGTGTGCTTGATGTCATAAATTAGGTTTTCTACAATTTAACAGTTTAACTTCCTGCTTCTAGCTCCTTCCCAGTGGATTCGACCTACTGTCAGTGGGTGTGTAGGAGATCAACTTATGGATTTCTCAGTGAATCCCATGAGTTATGATGTTTGGCCATTCTATTAAAGAGCACCCTTTGAGTTCTGGGAACCATTTTCATTCTGTCCTTTGGTCAGGCTGGTTGAGATTGACTGAGTAAAATAGTAAACATCCTTGCAATTTGATATAGCGCCTTTACCAATTTGGCTCACAGGGGAAGATCAAATGGACATGTCAGTTCAGAGAGCAAATTCAAGGTGGCAAAGAGGTACATTGCATTCCAAACTCATTTTCAAACCACTTTTAACAAAGCCGCAATGATGTACGCATTGTCGGGATCAGTAGGGAAGGTTTGGTGAAGGGTAAGTAGATAACAATATGAAATATGTACGTTTAAGAAAGCAGTGCTCTTAGCATTGCAAAATACTAAGCTATCAGCTCAAATAACTTAAGAATATGTAAGACTTGAGTGCTATTCATTCTCATATTCATTCATCATTCTATCTGTAGAGAAGGCAAAAGCATCAAATGGTCGTGTGTTAGTGCACTGCCTAGCTGGAATTTCTCGTTCTGCCACCATCGCCATAGCTTACATCATGAAAAGAATGGACATGTCACTGGATGAAGCTTATAGGTAAGAAGTGTTGTATTGTTAGTGATGCCTTCTGTGCATGGTGTTTCCTATGAGTTGTCGAATATATTAAAATGGAGGAAGGTGGAGGTTAGTTATAAAGTAGATTAAAGTTATTTGCACATCAAGTTAATTACAGTGCGAACAGTAGTACAGTCATAAAGCCTTGAGACACCTGCTCATAAGAGGTGGAGAACAAAATCATGGATTGTGCTTTTGCTGTGATCTGCCGCCTCGTCTCGATCACATCAAACTGTAGCTGTGCAACGTGCAGTCACGATAGTTCAGCTATTTGTCACCCAAAGTTGCTGATCTCCTGACTCAAAAAAAGTGATCATGAAGACGAGTGAAAGCATCTTGTGCACACAGCTGGAAACTTACAGCCAACAGGCAATATTTTGTGCTGCACTGACTGAGCAATGATCACAAGCCTAAAAACAATGGAAATCTGTTAGCGGGTTGTGAAGATAGGTTGTCTAGCTCAGAATGAGATGAGCGGCACAAAATCTAGCTTCCTGGTCAGTGAGCATGAAGGATTTAGGTTTCCAGGGGGGAAAAAAACCTTTTGTACTTTGGTTTGAAGTGGGAGATTTTTTTTAAACTTTGTTCCTTATTCCTCAACTTGGCTATCACTGTTTATTCAATTTCACCTTCTTGCGAATAGATAGCGATAGCAATCTGGGAAGGAAGGGGAACAGAGGAGGAGAGGTTGGGCAGTACAGATGTTGCTGTGATGATTCCAGAGAAATCACCTAAATGGCTGCAGTGAAAAGGGGCTGTTTTCTGCTCGAGCCCCAACCATCTACCCCACCCCACCCCCAACAAAGTTACTAAAGCTGTAAAGAGGAGATATGTGCAGAGTTAATGTCAGCTGTTAAAATGTCAACATTTATAACATTTAAAAATTAAAACTAAACTAAAATAGTGAAAACCACACTGGAGACGTTTGCATTGCTGTGGTCTGACATCTGCTACGTGCAGACATTCTTGAGTGGCCAACGCGGTGACGTTTTGAACTGAATTTGTTTCAGAGCAGCTTGGTTGACCCATATTATCAATGACACATCTTGAAACCTCACAGTGTGGTAATGTTCAAACCAGCTGGGTTTCCTGGTCTATCTTCAGCTGTGTGTGTGCGTGCGTGCATCCCCGTGTACATGTGTGGCAGCCGGATAGGGAGAGAAGCGGCTCAGCTGTGATGCCCGCTACAAACTTGCTGATACAGCTAACAATAATGAACAATAGTCATCTGGTCAAGGTACCAAAGGGCATATCCTTGCCTGTGGAATGCATCCCAGCAAAAGGAGGCTGGGGACCAGGAACAGAGGCATTTAAGTAGGAGTAAATTAGAAAAAAAAATATCGACACATTAATTTGTTTTTAAAAAAGATCATTGTAAGGTGGATTACAGAATCATTTCTTTGCCACCAATTTGTTTTTTTAATGTCTTATTTTTCATCAGCTTTGAAAATATGCTGCAAAGGGCTTATGCAATTTTTTTTAAAAAAAAGCAGACTTAACGGTTCTACATGTTTTTTTGCAAATTGTGTGTTGTGTCTGTCAGAATCTGTAAGAGCTACAGGGTTGGATCCACTGAAAAGATCCATTTGATTTTCAAGCTTCATAGCATTGAAGTTGATTTACTCCCTGACATACTGTTGATGTTGTATTGCTCTCTAATATGGGGCTAATCAGGTTGCTATTCAATACAGCCAGCATCTTTTAATAGATTTTGCATATTCTAACCGAGAAGTGAATGGGGGTATACATTGAGCGCAGTACAGAAGTTTTGGAAAACTGGAGAGCAGAGCAGATCGTTGGGGAGGAGGCAGAATTTCTTTTTCTGATACTGATTTTAAGTGTGTACTCTTTGTATTTACACCACACACTGAGCACTCACTGCTCTCCTTGCTCCAAGTATAGATAGGGAGCTACCACTGCGGTTAGAGGATATGACCTGGGCTTTTTGTTCTGATTTGCCTGTGCGACCTACATGTGGCTGGTTGGATCTTCACAGGACTTCCAATGGCCATTGTTGGGACTGTTCATTCAGATGAGACGTTAAACCGTGGTCACATTTGCCTGTTCAGATGGATGTTAAATCATGGTATGATTCAAAAAGAGAAGGGAGTTTCTCTTGTGATCCTGGCCAATAAATCCTCCCCCTAAAAAAATTGATCACTCATTCCATGGCTGTCTGTGGGACATTGTGGTGCACAAATTGGCAACAGCATTTCACCAACAAAATCCACTTTACAGTATTACCTCTGAAGCGCCTTGAGACATTTTGGAAGACATGATAAGGCACTATATCAAATGCAAGGATTATTATTATTATCCTGACTCATGATGCTTTCTTATTTATGTGGTTTTTTTAATTTTTTTAAAAAAGATTTGTCAAGGAGAAGAGGCCAACCATTTCACCCAACTTTAACTTTCTCGGCCAATTGCTGGACTTCGAGAAAAAGCTGAAGCCGCAGATGGTGCAGTCAACTGGGCAGCTAGGAGCCATCACCAAACTGACGCTTCTGCAGCTGGAGCGAGCCGGGGAGCAGCGAGCAGCTCAGGACAGCGGCCAGTTTGACGCTGTCAGAGAAAGCCAACCCTTCAGACCCTCTACCTCGGCCATTGTGGATCAGAACACTACTGAACGAGCCACACCATTACCTGCACTTATGGAACCCACAATTTCCAACATGGAAGAGGAGTGGCCTCTGGAACAAGGGATCAATGGACTTACCTTGTCGGTAGACAGGTTGGAGGACAACAATCGGTTAAAGCGCTCATTTTCTTTAGACATAAAGTCTGTATCGTATTCGGTAGGCAGCGGCGAGCCCGACTCTTCGCCAGTTCTTGACGGCTTGAAAGGTGTTTACGATCTTCCCATGGATCTGAACGAAGGCGAGTGCTACCATTTCTCCGCCGTTCAGGAAGAAGTGGAGCAACTTTCGAAGCACGCTGCCCACACAGTGCTGGAGGCCAGCACCAACCAGCCGGAAACCATATGGGAGCAGGGAACACCAAAAAGTACAGCTACTACTTCAACGCAAATGGCCTCGAGCACGGCCCCAGTGCCCAGAACACTGCTGTGTCCCTTGCACAGAAGTGGCAGCATGGAGGATAACTATAGAACAAACTTCCTGCTGGGCCTCTCGAGCAGCCAGCAGCATTTGGCAACGTCTGCGGCAGGGATGGGACTCAAGGGATGGCACTCGGATATACTCTCACCTCAGACTCCAACGGCGTCATTGGCGAACACCTGGTACTTTACAACCGAGGCCTTGGCGGGACAGCCTCCTCGCTTTATGTCCAGCTCGGCTCTGTTTGGCGGGGCGACGGCCTACTCTGCGTTCAGCTGCAGCCAACTGCCCACTGGCTGTGACCAGGCTGGGATGGTCCGAAGGCGGGAAAAGCACTGCGACCGACGAGATTCCAGGCGCAGCTGGCACGAGGAAAGCCCCTTCGAAAAACAGTACAAACGCCGCAGTTGCCAAATGGAGTTCGAGGAAGGAATGAATGAAAGCAGGTCCCGGGAGGACCTCGGGAAAATTGGAAGCCAGTCCAGCTTCTCTGGCAGCATGGAAATCATTGAAGTATCCTGAAAGAATGCGAGAATGCAGACTGTGGTGATTTAGTGAAGTTGTAATTCACATGTCTAGATAGTGTCTGCAAAAACTGCACTTCCCAACTTCCAAGCAGGGACATCTAAATACAGACTATTGTTACTCAAATGCTACAGGGGACAACCGTTTGTTCACCATTAATTAAACATACAAGTCACTTATCTAATCAATGCAATGAAGCAGAATTGTCAGGCTTTCCTTATTCGTATGGGGAAAAAAAATATCAGTTAGCATTATGCGATTGTCCATTAATGCACTTTGCCTCCGAAGACTGAGCCAAGTTCTGTGGAGATTTATTGTTTAAATTCCAGACAAGCTGGCAGAATCTGGATACCTGGTGTGTAATCATAGCTTACCTGATGCAAATACCTTTTGCATCTGTAAATAAACATTGTAACTATCTTGATTTGAATTTATGGATAGGTAATGTGCCAGTGCTGCTTAGAGCAAATACCTCAGAATTTTTTTTTAAAGAAAGAAAGCTTCTTATACTGTATGTAGGTATTCAGCAAAATCAGATCTCAGGTCTTACTTTATACAGATGAGATTTACAGTTTTTCGGCTAGGTCTGAGTTAAACCGCTAATGTGGTGAATTAGCACTGAGAAAACGGTCTGTGTGTACATTTTACTTGTGCCCATGGAATGTGGAGGACACACAACAAAAGCAAGTGATAAAACACAAGTTAAGTGAAACAGATGTGTGATTTCCGTGCGGCGTGCATGAGTTACAGGGTAGAAGGATGCTTGTAGGAGTCTTCTGGTGGAGAAGTGCTGGAAACTTGTTCAGGGTGGTACAATGCATCTGGATAGGGTGGAGCTATTGTGTTCAAACGTCTTGAGTATAATGTATTGGGTGTATGGAAAGTTGTGTCAGTGGTGATAGCGACAAATGTTTATCTTCAGGTGAAATGAGCAGATGTTGAAATAAAATCGGAGATGGTACTTGTTACATACAAGTGTGACTTAAACCATTGTTTCACATACTCAGTGCATTGCAGATAACAATGCTTACATTTGACATAACGCCTTTCACGTCGAGAGGACAAGGAGCGAAAGATCACTTCGAATGAATAAGGTACTTTTAATCTCGTCTTTCCACGAGGTGCTACATGAATGCAAAATTGTTGTTGTAATGAACTGTAGCTTGTGCTTCAAGACAACTAGTGGATGAGAAATCTGGTTTGGGGATGCAGAAAGTTGTTATTCAGTAAATGTGTAACTTTCTGCCCCTATTCACTTATCAACTGAGGATTTGCAATGACTGTAAAATAATTGGTCCTGCCTGCAGTGTATATATAGTATGAGGGTCTTAAACTGCAGATCAGATGCTTGGACGAGCCTGAGGTTTGCCAAAATAAATGTTCTTGATTGAATATTTAATTTATGCCATAAATTAAGAAATATTCAATCAAGAAAAACCTGGAAACATACTACCAATCAAAGGCAGACTTACTAGTGCGAATGTTCAGGGGTGCAACTGCTTATCGGCCCTGCAGATTACTTCCACCATGAGTTATTGCCACCACTGCCCAATGCAGTTTATGTCCCCCTTCCTGTGGGGAAACACCTTGTCCTGACTTTAAATCGTACTTCCATCCAATGTGTGGATGAGATCAGAATTGTGTAATGTGGGGAAATTACAGTACAATGCCACTTCCTGCCACTCACTCACTTCACCTTCCGTCAGGTTTAAATTCATTATCAATCTTCAAAAAAAAATCTATTACCAGGTGCTTGCCGAAGCATTTCGAAAGCAATTGATGGGCACTTTGATGTGCACGAAACTTCTAGCTGAATGGAAAAAAGCTTAACCCTAATGTGGTTTATTTACATTTCCCAGAAATGCTTTTTTTTGAATTAAAGAAATTGAAAACCCAAGGTGAAGGTTGGATAATACAGGACACCAAGGTTCAAACGAATAGCAAGGAAACACAAGATGCCAAAAAATGATTATGCAACAGGAAGCTTGGCTTCAAAAGCCTGTAGACTGGTTGAGGGAGGCCAGAGATTCTATAAGTATGAGGTCCTGGGAAAGAATGGCAGTAGGAAACAGTGTGTTAATTTCAAGAGGGTGGAGGGGCAACTTTGCTCAAGCTGGGTAAGAACGAGAAAGGAGACTTCATTAGAGCAGTATCGATATAAAAAAAGAGAACTAAGGGTTCAAAGCATTCCTGTGCACAGATTGACCTCTACAAATACAGTCATTCCACTATACAGTAAATCTTGTGAAGTGCTCTGATAACCTGATATATCAAATGCAAGGATTATTAACAATTCTGTGCAAGTCACATGCTGGTCCATGTGCATTTCAATTATGAGACTACTCTCAAACACCATTGGATCTATACTTTCCCTCAACTATTGATCAAATTCACTGCAGTACATTACATTGAATTGCAGCAACAAAGCAGGCCATTCAGACCAACTAGTCCATGATGTGTTTAAACTTCACGAGTCTCCAACCTAAATCCCCACTCCCTGGCCTCACCCGTATCCTTTCATTCCCTTCTCTCTCATGTATGCAAGTACAAGCACATACAGTGGGAATATTAATACTGAATCACTGATGATTTACATCATCAAAGCAAAAAAGTAGGAACCTGATTGTTAGTCGATTTTTTTTACTGTTCAAAGGTGTACACAATACAATACACATTACTGTACAAAGAACTGAAAACAAAATGAACATCAAAACTTGAGTTGATTTTCAGGAGGGAATAAACTGAAAAGCAGTGAAGGCATGCACTCAGAACAATGCAACCTCACACCAAAAAATTTCCCTGATACCCGTTTAGATAACAGCAGAAGGTTAGCAATTTTCAACCCTGAAGGTGACGCCCAGAGCAGTAGCAATTCTTTGATAACAAATGTTACTAAGCATCATTGAAGAACAAGCAAACATTAACGAAACACAGAACAAAGTGCATGACTGTCACCAGACTTGCCACAGGTGGATGGTATGTACTAGCTCTATAACAGTGGAAACGTTTGTTTCACTTTTTGCTTGTATTTCCCCTTTCCCTTCATTACTTTGAGGCAATACATTGTAAGACTTAATTTCTTGATTGATAGCTCCAGTGTTATTATTTTCTGGTTGGTAAATACACACAAATCATCAAAGTCTACATATTTACTGGCCAGTCAAGAATGCTTCCCTCCCCATGTATGTGTTTGCATCATTTTGTTTTAAAGTTCCACCCCATGTAACAAGGCATGGTGATTAAACACATTTCATCTGTAGGTAGTGTGCAAAACCTGGGTATCAACGAGTACTACCCTTAAGTGCTATCCCCCTTTCAAAAGTCAAGTAAAATGTTTTATTTTTAAGAACTTCCAAAATTTGAGTCGCAAGATTCAAGTTTACATCTATTTGAACTAACCTGCAAAGCAACATGTACCTATATCAACAAGTAATTTGAAGCAAATGTAATTCAAATTCTATAGTCAGAATTGCATTGACAGTGGAAAGTTCTGACATTCATAATTGGTTTTAAACTGCACAAGTAGTATTTTTTTATTACATTGTCACGTTCCTGAGTACACTGGGGGAGGTGAATGTGCATTTTATCCAAGTACAGCTTGTCTCTTTACAAAACAGGAAATGAGGGAAGAAATGAACTGGCTAAACACAAGCTGTCAAGACCATGCCAACCAGACAAACAAGGCACAGGTAACTGGTGTCCCACACTACAACAATATCAAAGCGGTGGTGTAAGTGGAGCTAAGTGGAGAAGTTGCAAGTCAGAGAGTATTAATGTCATGTTACTTTGCATGCATTAATTAAACTACTCTGGTGGCTGCTGCAATCCTAGTGTGTTTGGAAAAGTGCAAATTGGCTCAGATGTTTCACCCCAATTCTCAACGGATTTGATACTAATCATTAATAAATCACATCGAGTTACCAAAAATGCATTTCCAGCTGGTATGTGAGAAACCATCCATTGGCTTCACATATATATTGTACTATCAGGAGGTCTATTGAGCATTGCCAATCATTCTGAAGCAGCAGCAGATAGTAGATTACTACTGGTGATCAGCGTGCCTGCAAGTGCAATGATGCTTCATTTTTCTCAACATCTGAGCCTCAGATGAGTTTCAGCCCACTGACTAATGAACTGCAGGATTTTCGTGGAGTGCAAAGGATAGAGAGACACAACTCTGGATTGTCTATTGGTACTTTGAATCTTTGTCAGGCTTCATGCTGAAGTGTTCAAGTCGATCATTCTCTGGCAGTATGCTATTGAGTTTCTCCATTAATGGAATAGTTTGATCTATGCCCATCTGTATGCGCCGGAGGATAGCAGACATCTCATTAACCTTCTGTATTTGCTCAGCATACTTGGCATATCTCTTCTGCCGCTCCTGCATAATGGTGAACAAGGCTTCCACAGAGAGATCCATCTACAACGGAAAAAAATACTTTTAAAATGTAAAACTGGGCAAATGTTTAATACTACTACATTTCCATACATAATACTACTAAATTTCCATGCGTAACTCTCAGTGGACTGGTTTAGATATACTCTTTTTAACATTTGATGGGTTTCTGCAGGACACTTGATTGACACAAAAAATTCTTATCACTAGTATTTTTTAAAAAAAATGTGAAGGAAAAAGACTGGTTGCAGAAGGTAAGAAGTTCATTTGGTTTCCTGAATTTGCTTGCAATTAGGAAAAAGGTAGTGCTATTTCACACTTAGAGTAATAAACATAATTTTGTCCAAAGAGATAAACCTCAGTTTGAGAAACGTGGGCAAAAACATTAATGTTCCCAGCAGTTCAGTAAGTGGTGCAGTTATCCTTGAATTGATATAAAAAAACATATCCTCCAAATACTATGGGCAAGGTCAATACACACAAAATTCTTGTCCCACTGCCTTTTTCAAAAAAAAAAGTACCCTTTCTACCCTCATGTAGCTATATTTAGGGTTTAAATGTTAAGCAGGATTGGATGTTGCAGTAAAAGGAAGCATTTATTGTAAATAACTAGTTATAGAGGCCTACTGAAAGCTATTTGCCCAGAAAATGAGTACATTTGTTTATTAATGGGAACAAAAACTAATAGGTTGGATAGCAAACATAAGACAAATAACCTATGTACAAAATCAGATAGAAAGAACAGAAAGTGCTCAGCTAAACAAGTTGATCAGCTAATCATTTGAGGCTAACTGTTCTCATGAAAGATCTCAATGAAAATATTATTTTTCGGCCTCTTTTAGTCCATGGTCAGTCCACTAAACATTTTATTTCATTTTGGATTTCCCAGGGGATCCAGGCAAAATAGTAGTGACATTGAGTGGAATGTCTCAGGGATTCATTCTGCGATCCTTCTGTTCTTAGTAAACATGTTATTCGGGTTGACATTAAAGATCCCATGACATTGTTTGAAAAGTCAAGGCAGCTTAATAATAACAATAATCCTTGCATTTTATATAGCGCTTTTCACGTTTTCTAGACGTCTCACAGCGATTCACAGAATATACTGTAAAGTGAATTGACTGTATATTTTGTGGGCGAACGCGGCAGCCAATTGCGCACAGCAATGTCCCACAAACAGTCATGGATTGAAAATGACCAATTTATTATTGTTTTGTTTTTTTGGCGGGATTATTATTAGGCGTGTGAAGTAAGGAAACTTGCCCAAGGTTTCGCCCTGCCTGGAATTGAACTCAGGTCTCTCACTTGCAAAGCAAGTGCTCTAACCACTGAGCTACAGGACTCAGCTTCTCCCAGTGTCCTGGCCAACAGTCTCCCACATAAAATCAGTCAATCACTTCATGGCTGTTTGTGGGACATTGTGTGCAAATTGACTGCCATGTTTGCCTACAAAATACACAGTCACTACACTTCACGGTAAAATCTTATCAAGCACTTTGAGACATCTTGAAGACATTGTGAGGTCCAAATAACCAAATTTAAGAATTATTATTAAGCTGAAAGAGTCCTAGACATGTTCATTGACTCATCGCTCTGCACGTTGAAACAGTGTGAGGCAGCAATAACCAAAGCAAATAGAATGCTGGGCTGCATTATCAGTTGAGTTCAATTCCCCAAGAATGCCTGCTCCAGATGTTCAAGCTGCACCCAGAGTGCTTCATACAGTTCTTGTCACTGCAACAAAGCAGTACTTTTAACTCAGGTACACAAATCAGAATGAGAAAGATGAGCTATGAGCAATAATTAGCAGTAAGTGGGAACCCGGTTGTTATGTCGATCGGCGGATCGCTTTCAGGGATAATAATTCCTTAGAAAAAGTCCAAAAAATAATAATAAATTGATCACTTATCTACCCAATCCACAACCGTTTGTGGGACACTGCTGTGCCCATTTTGCTGGCGCGTATTGCCCACAAAATATACAGTTAATTCAGTTTACAGTATATTCTGTGAAGCGTTTTGAGACATCTTGAAAACAATACGTCTCAAAGTGATAAGGCCCTATATCAAATGCGAATATTATTATTATTAATTAAATAAGTTAGGGATGTCTGAGAGACTGCCTTATTGATGATCATACAGGGCAACCCCATTACATGAAGCCCCTGAAAGAGTTTGCTTCAGACAGGGAAGCCTCCCCTGTGCTTCAAAAAATATCCATCTTCCAGGTCTGAGAACACAGTGCGACAAGCATAAATGTGCTTTCATCGCACTGATGAGGAAAGTAGAAATTTGTTGTGATGGCGCAACATGCGAATAATGACCTGATCAGTAACCAGAGTCACGTACTTGTCTTTTAATTTAATACCTAGTTACTGTTTATGACGACAAGAGGAACAGAGCAAGGAGGTGGCATTTGCAGAACCACAGAATAGCTTTATGATAAACAGTACACTAGGTAACCATTCTGTTGAAAAGCTTTGTACCAAGCACTGTGGTAAAGATGACCATTGTTAACACAGCAATTTGTTTCCCAGTCTCAAACTTTATTGTATATTGTAAATCGAGAGTAGATTATTTTATACAACTACAACTTGTATTTATATAGTGCCCTTCATGCGTGGTAGCGTCTCAGAGCGTTTCACAGGGCAGAGCGCAACACCAAGCTGGGGAGAGGGGGGGAAATGACCATAGGCACATTCAAAGAGGAAGGTATTCAGGTGTGATCTGAAGATGGGAAAGGAGGGGGCAAGGCAGAGGGATTGAGGCACGGATCCATTGTTTTGTGGGTGGAGGGCAGGGTACGATGGTAGAGCAGTAAGATGCAAGCAAGACTTAGGGAAGTGCTAGGGAGTGAAGTGATTTGTCAGTGAGTGTGAGCATCTTGAAATCGATCTATTGTTGCAACACCAAGATGTGTGGTTCATTGTTCGGAACAAAAAAAGTACAATTTATAAGGGATTTTTTCTTTATGTGTGAAACACATTCTGACATGCTAAAGTTATTGTAGATCATTTCTGCCTGCAAAAATAGTCACTACATGTGATGATAATTACAATGAAGCAATGAGAACTTTCAATGCTATAGTTGTTATGGAAATGCAAGTTCATCCATTTATCAAGTGTCAGACAATTCTGTCAAGTTAGAAAAATACTAAGGTTGCAGGAACTGGAACTCACAGTCTAGGCTGATTCTCCAGTACAGTGCTGGAAGAAGGAAGGGCTGCATTATTGGAGGTAATGACCTTTAGATCAGCCGTTAAATTGAGGTCTCACCTGCCTGTTACGGTGGTCATTAAAAATCCCATGGCACTTTTCGAAAAGAGGAAGAGTTTCTCACAGTCTCACAAATAAGATTGGTTCATTCATGACGGTTTGTAGGAGATTTGCTGTGTGCAAATTGGTTGCTTCTTTCACCAACTAAACACAAGCACTGCACTTTACAATAAATCCTGTGAAGCGTTGAGAGACATCTGCCAGGCATAAAAGGCCCTGATTCAAATAAGGATTATTTTAATTATTCAATTTACAGACTCAGTTGATTTAGGTCTCATCCTTCAACATGCTGTGAAAGTATATAACCATTTGTTTATTTTCCAAGTGCTCCAGTTCCCTAACTGCTAAATTGTGTGCACACTGCACACTGACCTGTTATTTTGACAATAAGAAACCTTCCACAATTTTCCATTCTCTCCTGGTTAAATACACAGAACTGTAAGTTTGATTGCTCCAATTGACACAGCAGTATAGAAATTAACATGTACACAACTGCTCCCTTAACTGCAAGAGTTTCATGTGCCACAGCCAGCCAAATTTACTAAATACTGAAATTTATCAGTTAACCAGCATAGGACGTTGGGCAAGGACTCGGTCATTGAGCAAAGGCTTAAAACAATACCAGAATTCCAATGATTTTCACTAAAATCTGTGAAAACGCTGTATGATGTGTTATTCCAACTTGTTAACACCAATGAGACACTGCGATCTGCCCAGACACATAGCACAGGACTTGCAGTTTCTAGCAGACAGCACTAGAACAATTTAACAGCAGTCATTCTGGACTGGATGAAATCACTTTGGCTGGCTTGTCCTTAGTATTTTTCTATCTTGACAGAATTTTGGAACCTGATATTAAAAAGATTTTCCTTTAACTGTGCCAAAACTATGTACAAAATTATATTGCATAGTTACTAAGGAGGCATATTGATTTCATCTTATCCGAAATACACCGAAAAGCAGAAACAGATTTCACTACTGTAGGGGACAAACGCATTGCAGAACACAGAAACATTGGGACCTACTTCTTCAATAGAAAACTGGAAATGAATAGATAGTACAAGGTGCTGGAAAACTATGATTCCATGACTTATGTTAGGAAAATGCACAATAGAATGTAGAAGCACTGGCCTCCAGTTGAATTAGTGGAAATGCTACAACCTTGATGTTTTCACAAAGTGTAGCTGAGAATTAGTAAAGCGCATGAATTTTATAAACAGTGTTTCTCTTACGAACGAATATAGTATTTTAGGGAATGCCTTTCTCTGTAACGGCCTGCTTGGATCCAAAATTATTATTATTATAATCACTGACTGTCTAACCCCTTGGGACATCCTCCCGACGTGAAACATGCAGTACAATTTTGTATTGTATAAACGCTTGTAATTCAGTCTGAAATTACAAATAATCATGAAAATGTCTGTGCAGCTAATCAATAAGTTTCTTTAGGCAGATCTTACATTTTGATACAGCACTTTACCACATCGGGAGAAAGCCTCAAAGCACTTCACAGGATTTAAGTGTAGTGATTGTGTGTTTTGTAGGCAAACACGGCAGCCAACTTGTGCACAGCAATATCTCAAACAGCCATGAAGTGAAGGACCAATCCTATTTGGGGGAAGCAGGGAGATCAAAAGCACGGTCGAAGACGTGGGTCTTGAAGGTGGCAAGGGAGGGAGCAAGGCGGAGAGATTGCGGGATGGAGTTCCAGAGGGTGGGGGCAGAGTGGCGGAAGGCCTGCCCGCCAATA